AAATACAATCATTTATAATTTTCTTCTTATTTATAGCAGTTATTCTCCATGTCTCGGCTCCATAGAGTAAAACAGGTTTTACTAGTGTGTTGAAGATCCGAATTTTCATTCCAAGGGTTAAATCTCCAGAACCCCAAACATTTTTTAGTTGGTTGAAGACTGCTCTTGCCTTGCCCGTCCTTATTTTTATGTCTGCTTCTGTCCCACCCTGCTTATCAACAATACTTCCAAGGTAGGTGAATCTATCCACTTCTTCTAGGGCTTCTTCTGCCAATATTATAGGGTTGCTGTTTGATGCATTGACTTTGAGAACTTTATTTTTCCCTCTGTGGATGTTCAGTCCCAGGCATGTAGAAAAATTATCTTGCATTTGCTTTTATGTGTGAGAAAGAAGGTCGTCAGCAAAATCCAAGTGGCGACTATTAGGGGCAGATAATTTAGTTTTTAAACTATTTAAAACTAAGGGGAGGTAATAACAAGTTCTGCTTGATTTTTCATTGTCGTCTGTAAACTGTTGTCACGGACGGCTGACTTCACGGGGGATGGGGGGAAGGGGGGGTAGGGAGGAGAAGGATAACCGTCCTTCACGAGCTACTGATATTGTTTTAAAGCAAAATAGTTTTCAGTCTCAGCAGTGGTAGGGTTGAATTTACAAATTATGAATTACTGAAAAAGTAGAAAATAAGATGACTAAATAGCAGCGGGTTGGCTCGCATTCCGATATAGCACTACGGGGATGGTAACTCGGGGGATATAGACTTAATTTTTATCAGTTTTTACATACTTAACTTTTTAAAATAGAATAGAATCTTATAGAAAAAGAATTACGCACCAAGTGAACGGCAAACAATATGTGTACAATAGTGCGGAATACTAGTATTTTATAAATTCATATGCGTTTTTTTAGAAATAGGAAATAACGTAAATTACTAGTTCAGGTCAACGAAAATCAAAATTTTAAAGAAGGCAGAGAATTGGATCTTTCACTTATTTGTGAAAGTTTGTTTAACTATGTAAAACAGACTCCACTTCTGGTTACCGGGAATCGCTTAAAAGCTGAAACATAACTACAAATTTTATATAATACTTATGTATGAAAATTCATCAACCTAGCTGTAAGTGTACTCAAGTTATCGTGTTCACAGACATACACACGCACACACAGATTCACATACACACATACATATATACACAAAATGTTTTTTCTGACACATGTAGGTTTAAAACGTCGAGATTTGTGAAAATAAAATATATTGCTTTCGATTTTTTGCACGATTACAATATCTTCTCTAAACTTTATATACGAGAAAGTAAAAAGTTTATGGTAAATAAAATGCAAATTTTGAAACTTTTGCATACTAAAAATGGGTGCGGTTTTTTGGGACTTTATATAATTCTGACCAGTAGTTATATCAAAAGTTGTAGTAACAATAGTTTTAAAATATACTGCAATGATTGTTATAAGTGCATAAATAAACAAGGTAATTAAAAAGTCTAGTGACAATTTTAGCGCAATTTCCTTATGTTATCTAAAAATAGCTCTGTCGTAGCGGTAATCAAGAGCAGGGTTAGTAAAACCATTAGTTAAAATACATGTTTTACTTACAATAGAGTTACATGACTAAAAACCATTGCGCGCCTAGCTACTGAACGTGATGACGCAGCCATTGAACGTGATGGCGCAGCTATTGAACGTGATGACGCGTGTGGTGTGGTTGGATAAAAATGCCTACTAATTCGGTCCAAATTTAATTAATTCAAAAAAAAATGTGTGACCGAACGAAAGGATATTTTTGAAAACTTTCTTCGGCAATATTGTTCTAAATTATGGCAGGAATCAATTGGTACATGTTTCAAGTCGCTAAGTGGTTTGGTTGCCGAGATATTGGCCAAAAACTGCTTTTTTTCGAGGTTTTTTGGCTTTTCCGGGAAATCCATGAAAGAAACCCGTAATTTTTATGGCCTATGTTCATCCTCGTAACTTGCGTAACATAATTGCTTTTGGAACTAGTCATCGATATTCCTTCGTTGAGGAGGAGATACGACTTAAAGCTGCGGACACACATTCAAATATCCATCCATTCATCCATCCAGAAATGACGGGTTATTAAACGCAATTCTCCAGAATGGAAATTGCGCTAAAAAGCCTTAAGAGTACCGTAAACTTCAAAATGGCAGAGGTTTTTTCGGGTTTCCATGACAACCAAAACTCTTTTCAACCCTTTCATTGCTGTTTAATACTTACTTTCATGTGCCGAACTTGGTAAAAGTATTCAAAAGGCTTTAGATCTTAAGGCCAGACACCATACATGTTTTCGACAGGTTAAAATGTTTTCTACTAGTATGGTTTTAACACTAATTCTTATTGTAACACCATTTCCTTTTATGTATTACTGCACTAACAAGTAGAAAATAAAAGACGCACTGCTGTTTAAATAGCTATAAAGAAAAGCAAGGGTCACTATAATATAAGACCGTAACGACGTTCTGGAGAGTGGGAGGGTGGGGTGGGTGGGCAGAGCCCCTTATGACGACATAGAATTTATATAGAAAATATAGAAAATATATACTTTTATCAGTTACCGACCCCTCCCCAGAAAATTTAAACCACACCTCAGGGGAGGGAAATTTCTGAAAGAAACACTGGTCGCATTTGTAGATCATACAGACTGAGGGTAGAGCCTACTTTATAAACTAGACCCGTTTACTACTTTTGGTAGATAAACCTCACTCACGCTGTGTTTCTTTCAGACTTTTATCCAGGGGTTGGGCGCTTGAATCAATAAAATTGTCCGGGGCTGGGGAGGCCGACACTGGTAAAAGTATACATTTTCAATATAAATTATATATATTTTTTTTTTTTTGGTGGGGGGGGGGGGGGGGGGGGGGTAGACGTTCTACGGAGGGGGGAGAGGGGGCTTTGCCCCTACCCGAAGAGATGCATGAAAGAAACTCCACGCAAACCACTTCTAAGATTAGGCACATTAATTAGGCCGTAATGTCAGTGTTTTTATTATAGAGTATCGATGACGTCATTTCTTTTGAGGGGGGGGGCAGCTTAGACGTATTTACGGGGGGGGGGGGCTTCGCCCCTACCCGAAGAGATCATAAAGACAAGCGTGGGCTACTGTATTATCTATTGGATACTTTTACTAACATTTAGGAGTCCAACGCTTTTCTTTATAGCTATTTAAATAGTAGAGTATTATAAATATTTAAAGAAAATTTTCTCCGTTTGGTGCATTGTTACATAAAATCTTGTTATTGAAATGTTTTTTATGAATTCTTTTCAGGCCTTTAAAATGTTTAATACGATAGATTTTTTGGCTAAAAACTAAATAGGCATCCATCGAAGTCAAAGTTGATGGCAGATTGCATTGTCATCGGGTCTTGATGCACGTTCCAAGTTTGAAACTAATCGGTCAGTTAGAAGTGCTCGAAATTTTGTTCGGCATTTCGATCTAAGACGACAGACAGAAAAAAAAGTTAGAGGAAGCAAGTTTAAAAAGAGCGTGTGAAAGACCTGTTAATAAAACGTTTTTTATGCATTTTGTTGTTATTTTAGATTTTATTTAAGTTTTGAACTTGGCGGTTCACAGTGTAAATTGAATATCCTTACAGTTCATGAGATTTTGTTGTTATTTTTAGTTACAATGTTTAAATAGCAGAGGTTAAGGAGGAGGAGGGGAGGAAGTGCGCAAGACTGCTATCCGGAACTTCTAAGATCCAGATCCCTGACTTAAGTTTGTATGATGTCTAGGAGCACATTCAGTCCAGATGGGTATCAATATTACGACAGTGAAAGCATAATATTTATACCCATCTGGACTGAATGTGCTCCGAGACATCATACAAACTTAAGTCAGGGATCTGGATCTTAGAAGTTCCGGATAGCAGTCTTGCGCACTTCCTCCCCTCCTCCTCCTTAACCTCTGCTATTTAAACATTGTAACTAAAAATAACAACAAAATCTCATGAACTGTAAGGATATTCAATTTATTCAATTTATTCAATTTATTCAATTTATTCAATTCATTCAATTTATTCAATTTATTCAATTTATTCAATTTATTCAATTTATTCAATTTATTCAATTTATTCAATTTATTCAATTTATTCAATTTATTCAATTTATTCAATTTATTCAATTTATTCAATTTATTCAATTTATTCAATTTATTCAATTTATTCAATTTATTCAATTTATTCAATTTATTCAATTTATTCAATTTATTCAATTTATTCAATTTATTCAATTTATTCAATTTATTCAATTTATTCAATTTATTCATTTTTTTTTTAATTTATTCAATTTATTCAACTTATTCAATTTATTCAAAAAAAAAACGGTAACAATAGAAGGCACGGGGGCCTTTTTCACATTGGCCGTTTTAAAATAAGCAAATAAAACAATTTAATGACCATTTAAAAAAAACAAATGCGTAGTAAAGATATAGCAGTAACATAGCACTAAAAATGTGGAATAAAGAAATAATATTACATAGTTATAATACCAAATGGGATAAAATAGAATATAATAGATCGGGGGTCTCCAAACTTTTCAACCGGAGGGCCGCTTTAACTATCAAATATCAGTTCGGGGGCCAGAGTTTCTTCAAGGCATCTCTTTGAGGTGGTGGTGCCCCCCCCCCCCCCCCCCCCCAAACGAAATATAATATATATAGAAATATATACACATTTCAAGTGTCCTCCTCCTTCGAAGAAAAAAGTGTGAAAGAAACACTGTTGGGGGACAACAACACTCGAGGTCCAAGTTTGCTCTCTTCACGTATTTCATTCTTGAAAATTTTTGTTCATACAGGTATGTTGTTCCAAAACGTACTTTGATGCAAAAATTTTAATTTTTGTGCAAAAAATTTATAAAAACCCACCCGCCCTTCTTTGAGCCCGCTAATATATAATATAACATAACATGTGATTAACATAATAAAACGCTTTACATCGTACACTGCTTTCTATATACATAGTGCAGGTGTAAAATGGGGAACGAACTCGCTGTTCCATCTCGCGGAAGGGCTGGTGGACAAGAAAAAGTAGACCTTCCAGATGTTGATTTGAATGAATTTCGCTCCATGATGCAAAAAATGTCCGGAAACATGCTGGAAGATATGCAAGATTTTCTGCAGAACCTCCAAAATGTAAGCTCAAAGTTACAGAAAAATGCCATTAAGGACGAGGATTTATTTGAAAAGTTAACAGTTAATGCTGCTTCCATTGACTATATTGATCCAAACGTGGACTCGACACCTTTGATGGTTTGTGCAGCGCTGCAACGAAAAGAGTTAGTCAACAAACTTTTAGCAAAGGGCGCCAATCCTAATGTGGTCAATAAAAAAGGTCACACTGCTCTGACTTTAGCTTGTTTGGCAGGTGATGAAGCGATTGTTGAACTATTGGCAGAGAAAACATTAGATATTAATGCGGTGTTTAATGATGGGAACACAAATCTTCATGTAGCAATTTTAGGGAAACACAAGAAAATAGTGCGGGACTTGATAGATAAAGGAGCAGACATACACAAACAAAACTATGAAAAAGATAATGCAATAATGTTAGCTTCTGGCCGAGGATTGAGAGACATTGTAGCTCTACTGATAGATAAAGGCGCTGATGTCAACAGCAAAGATTTGCGACATTGGACCCCACTGATGTCGTGTGCACAAGGTAATTATTATGAAGTAGCAGAGCTGCTAATAGAACATGGCGCTGATGTAAACGCCACACAACTTTCAGGTGGAACGGCCCTGCAGATAGCCGCAGGTCATGGACATGTAAAAACTGTTAAGGTTCTCCTTAAAGCCGGGGCAGATATTGACCATGTCAATAAATTAGGACATACGGCATTGCTAGTGGCTTGCGCTAAAGGAAAGATTGAAACAGTCAAAACTCTCATTAAATATAAATCAAAGAACAAGTTACCAAACGAAGAGGTCAGTAAGGCTTGGATAAATATTAAAACAAAAGATGGCCGAACAGCACTTTTTGTAAGCTCTATTAGTGGATATTCCGACATAGTCAATTGTCTGTTACAAGCCGGTGCAGACCCAAACATTGAAGACCAAAAAGGATATACACCACTGATGTGCGCTTGTCAAGAAGGCCACTTAGAAGTTGTGGAATCTTTACTACAAGCTAATGCAGACGATCTAAAAGAAAGTAACGAAGGTCTAACTGCATTATATTATGCCGTGTCTCGCGGACATAAACACGAAGCTCGGCTGCTGTTAAACAGGAGAGACAAACCATATCCTAACATCAATAAGAGGCTTAATAACGGAACTGGTTTACTAGATATGGCTGCCGCTAAAGGACACACTCAGATATTAAAGATGCTGATAGATGCAGGAGCTGATGTCAATTTTGCCAGTGCTGACGGGCTAAGGCCGGTGTTTCCCTGTTCTTTAAACGGAAACAAAGAAATAGTCTATGTACTGACCTCAGCTGGTGCTGACGTTAATTTGAGTGATGAGAAAGGAAATACGCCTCTGATTCTGGCATGTTCCAATGGACACACAGATATCGTAACACATCTGGTAGAAAAAGGGGCATTGGTAAATGTTTTAAACACAGATGGACGAACTCCACTTATGCAGGCAGCCTCCGCTGGTAATGAAGAAATTATCGAATATCTTATCGAAAGAAAAGCAGATTTGAATGCTGTGGAACAAAGAGGATGGAATGCTTTGATGATTGCTTCACACCCTGGTAATATCAAAGTATGTACATCCTTGATTAAGCACGGTATCAGCTGCGATGCCAGATCAAGAGAAGGTGTTACTGCACTTCACATTGCTGCGGGACATGGGCACTATAACATTGTGAAACTACTAATTGATAAAGAGGTTAATGTAAATGTTGTTGACAAAGACGGTAATACTCCGTTGATAAATGCATCAAATAATGGCCATTCTTCTGTAGTTCAGTTACTGGTAGACAACAATGCTAATGTTGATGCTGAGAATGAAAATGGTGTATGTCCGATAATTTTAAGTGCTAATGGAGGTAACGGAGATATCGTTGATATTCTATTACTAGCAAATGCTAAAGTAAACACTACCGATAAGGAAGGTGCAACTCCTCTTCACAAAGCTGCATCAAATGGCCATGTTCATATTGTCAATGCTTTGGTAGAGGCCAAGGCATTGATAAACATAACTGACAAGGAGAAACACACACCTCTGATGAGAGCTGCTCGTAATGGAAATGCAGATATTGTCACGATGCTCCTTGCTAAAGGGGCTGATGTTGACCAATGTGGAGATAGAGGCTGGACGTCACTGATGTTGGCTGGTCAGTCTGGAAAAACAGAATGTATGAGGGTGTTATTGAGCAACAAAGCTGATACAGAACCCAGAGATAATAAGGGTCATAGCGTGCTTCACATCTGTGCAAACAATGGCCACAAACACGCTGTACTGCTACTCATCGAACATGAAGCTAACCCTGCTGTAAAAAATAATAATGGATGCAGTCCCTTGATGCTGGCATCTCATAATGGTCACACTGATATTGTCCAATATTTACTTCAACTAGAAAAAGTAAAAAGAAAAGTAAATGAGACCTTAGACTGGAAGGAATATAAAAGTGGAGACACAGCACTTATCATGGCTGCCAGACGTGGCCATACAGCCATAGCTAAAGCTCTGATAGAAGCTGGAGCTTCTGTCGATGAGAAGAATAAACACCACAGCACAGCCCTCAACATTAGTGCTCAAAATGGGTATTCCAAGATCGTTGATGATTTGCTGGTAGCAAAGGCTAATGTAGACCTACCAGATTTAGACGGAGATACGCCTCTGTTATCTAGTGCACTAACAGGACAAGATCACGTCATTCAATCACTAATACAAGCTGGAGCTGACATGTTTGTAAAAAATAAATCTGGGAAAACAGCTTTAGTGGTTAGCGCTGAGAAAGGCCACCGTCAAACAGTGAAACTACTTTTAGAAAAAGGTGAAAACAAACACAGTCAAGAAGATCTGCAAAACGCGATGTACATAGTCCACCGATACGGATTTACTGACATTCTGTCTATGATTGGGGAAATGACTGGACAGGAATTCAAGAACGGTAATTATCAAGTGAATCTTACTAATACAACTTTAGGATTAATTTTTTTGCTTTAAAATTCAGACACAATATATTTATAACCTTCATTTAAGCATACATTTTGTTGTTTTAAAAGTAGGTATCAAAATGTCTATGTCTAACCATACCTTTTGTATTTCTAGAAAGACTACTTCATTTAAGCTTATTCGTTTAGGGATAGATCACCATGAATACTGTAAATGCATCAACAACTAAAATTACTAATTTCATAAACTGTTTTCTCATTCTTTCATGCTCATTATACTGGTGCAGAGAACAGGACATTACCCCCCCCCCCCCGTCAATTACCCAACGGACATCCCCCCCCCCACCCCGACACTACCCGGAGTAATTACCCCTGTCAATTACCCCCGCCCAGTATGACATTATCCCCGCCTAGTCGTAGCTTAAGGTACAGTAAGGGTAAGGATTAGGATTAGGGTTAGTTTTGGTTGAGGGTTGGTTTAGGTTTAGTTTAGTGCTAGTGCTAGTGCTAGTGCTAGTGCTAGTGCTAGTGCTAGTGCTAGGGCTAGGGCTAGGGCTAGGGCTAGGGCTAGGGCTAGGGCTAGGGCTAGGGCTAGGGCTAGGGCTAGGGCTAGGGCTAGGGCTAGGGCTAGGGCTAGGGCTAGGGCTAGGGCTAGGGCTAGGGCTAGGGCTAGGGCTAGGGCTAGGGCTAGGGCTAGGGCTAGGGCTAGGGCTAGTGCGTGCTAGTGCTAGTGCTAGTGCTAGGGCTTGGTCTAGTGCTAGGTCTAGTGCTAGATCTAGTGCTAGGGTTAGGGTTAGGGTTAGAGTTAGGGTTAGGTTTTATGTTTGTTTTAGGGTTAGCTTTATATAGGCAGTTGGAGATAAGATAAGGTTTATAATCAGGACTCTTGATCTTGGGAGAGGGGTGTGTAACAATTCTATGGGGTTGATAGAACTGTTATTATGGATTCTTGACATCAAGGTGACCGTTACACTTCTTTGCTGAACGTTATATCTTTATTACAAATATGTATACATGTTGGAGCTTAGACCATTAAACAATAATCCATAGTTAATGACAGTCCACAAACATAGCTACATGGTGACGGCTTACATTTTTTTAGTACACAAGTACGCACTTGATCACCTTTTACTCCCCATTTTATACCCTTCACTCTCTCCCCCAACGTCAGTGAGCGATATCAATATAAGAATAAACAAACACGACATAGTTGTTTTATTTTCTAGAACCCCTACCCTACAACCCCCCCCCCCCCGCCCCGTGAAAGCAGCCTCCTCTTAGTTACCTCCCATAAGTTGAAAATCTTTTCAGACTTAATTATCTGCCCCTAATAGCCGTCACTAAACCCGGCTCTACGATTGTAAACACATAGCGTGAACCACAAATCACCAGACCATGTAGAGGGGGGGTGGTAGGGAGCGCGCTTACAGCTTGGTGTTTTCTAACGTCTCCAAGAAAAGAATTATATATATATATATATATATATATATATATATATATATATATATATATATATATATATATATATATATATATATATATATTAGGGGCAGATAATTCAGTTGGCCAGGTATTCTGCATCCATGCAAAGTTCAAGCTAAATACAATATAGATACAGAATACCAAAAGTACAGTCTGTTACCCAGGGGGGGGGGGGGGGTAATGTCCTAGACCCACTCATGCAATTGTTTGCTTAGTTGCAATAAATAATTGCACATAATTGCACATAATTGCACATAATTGTACATAAATACATCATCAGATGGTGCTCCTGATTTCGGAATAACACTGCCAGAGGATAGAGTGACTCTGTTTTCGAATCTTCCTTGCTCAAAAGGGTAATAATACCAATATACATTTTACTACAGATTTCAGTAAACGTACTTGAACTCACAAAAATGGCACAGACATAGACCCGGACCTAGACCCAGACCCAGACCCATACCTAGACCCAGACTTATACGTAAACCTAGAACGACCTAAATAAAGTGTTAGTTCTAGATACATCTATATCAACATCCGCATGCAAAATGATTTATTAACATTCTATAAAGCAAAACGCATCCCTTAAAGGTCAACATTGAAGTAAAATGTTTAAAATGTTAGGAAACCGAAATAAATGTAGTGTTGCGTTATCCGTTGTCTCTCAGTGCACTCAGAGCAAAAGGAGACTTCTTCACATTGACTACAGTATTTTATTTTACATAGAGCTCTGTTCACACGTGTATCAGGGTTACATCTTAGACAACTCACTGTTAACCCATTATACACTAACACGATAAACAGCTGAGAATGAACCTTCGAGGGACATAACTATGATATACATAATATAAGGGACATAACAATAAACAACAAGACATAACGTAACAAATTAAACATAATTCCCATAAATGTAGCATGTCCAAGTATGCGTTATCAACAGATATAATTTATTTTAATATAATGTGCTTAAGCACCACGTTTGGTTTGTTTATTCGCCAACAGATTACCAGATTCTTCAAAAGTTATCATTAATGAGTATAATTCACGCTCCGTTGAAGTACATACGACTAAAGATGGAAAGACAGTGTAAGTTTATTTATGTTGTTATATATGAAAAATAAAAACCGAAACATATACCATATTTAGTCAATAGAACACCACATTAAATGCCCAAACTGGTTCAGTACCTTAAAAATAACTTTCTTTAAAACCAGGTTCTTTATTACTATTTTTAGCGCAATTTCCATACTGGACAATTGCGATTATTAACTCATCATTTCTGGTGATGGATGGATGGATGGATGTGCGCAGCTTTAAGTCGTATCTCCTCCTCAACGAAGCAATATCGAGGACTAGTTCCAAAGCAAATATGTTAAGCAAGTTCCGAGGATGATTGTGGGCCAAAAAATTCCCGGAATTCCTTCCTGAATTTCCCGGAAAAGCAAAAAAAAACTCAAAAAATGCAGTTTTTGGCCCATATCTCGGCAACCAGACCACTTAGCGACTTGAAACATTTACCAATCGATTTCTGCCATAATTTAGAACAATATTGCCGAAGAAAGTTTTCAAAAATATCCTTTCGTTCGGTCACAAAAAATTAATTAAGAATTTTTAAACTGAGCATCGTGTAGGCCTAGGATGATATTTTTAATTTAAACTGAGCATCGTGTAGGTTTTTAGCGCAAAAAATATCCTTTCGTTCGGTCACAAAAAATTCAAAATTGTTATGGATAACATAAGGAAATTGCGCTTAAATTGTCACTAGACTTTTAACTTGTTTTTTAATTTTTAAACTAAATTTCCTGGACAGCAGACCCTAATTGCAAATAAGAATGAGGGATATCGTGGTCGGGTCGGTAGTATTATATTAAATTTGTAGATCCATATCAACTTTTCAGCGATTTCCGGTAACCGGAATTGGAACTTTTTCTACTTTCAATTCTTCTAAAGCCTATAACTTGAGTACTATTTCAGATAGATACAAAAAGTTTCACACATAAGTAAAATATCTAATTCTCTAACTTCTATTACATTTTGAGTAACTTCGGTTGACCGGTAGTAGTAATTTACGTTATTTCCGATTTCTCAAAAAATGCATGTAAATTTATAAAATACTAATAATATCCGGCACTATTATGCACATTTTGTTTGGCATTCGCTTGGTGTTATATAAGAATATTAGAGACAATTTAGGGGAGATCACTTCGGTTTATTTTTATTTTTATCAACCTAAAATTATAACCCGAAGTTTCACTTTCCTAAGTCAAGCATTGATTAACTTTACAGGACATCCGTAATCGATATTTTAAAAACCTTACTTTATAGTTATTTGTATTCAAAACTTATTCAATAAAACTATTTTATTAAAATATTCTTTTTCAACCACAAGACCTAGTTTTGCCATGATTACTTACATTGTCAGTGATGAAACAAATTAAAAGGAAATTTTATTTTAATCAACCAAAGAAGAAAAAACCTCACCTTTCTATGTATTAGTTAGAAATAAAATGTTTCATATTTTCAGCAACATTGTTAACAACATCAATATTCAACAAGTGAATACAATGACGTCAATTATGGGCGAGAACAATGTAAGTATAATATTAATTAACTAAGTGATTTAACGTTGGTAGGCGTTGGATAAAAATTCGAAGCAGTTAGTCTCAAAGCTGGGATGCGGACAAAAAGGACGACATAGGACATAGACATAACGCGCGACACGGACAAGAGGCCGACATGCCAATATGGACAAAAGACCATTGGGACATAAGGCGGAGAGGTTGTTTTTTTATATTTTGTCTTCAAATACTGCATTTATTATAGTTGGTAGTAGGTCTACAAAATGCTAAATAATGTGCATGGTATTTAGGATGGGTTAAACATATTTTTGTGTTGCGTTCAAGATCTTTAGTCTATGTCGTAATATCTTAATAATTGGCGGTTTATTTATTTCCTATATCTTAATGTATCTCCAAATCCTACCCTTAGAATTAATTTTACAACTTATTTAGATTCAGACAATATAACAGTCTGTTAAAACATGACAACGTTTCTTCCCCCCCCCACACACACACACATGAAAAGTATTTAAAAAACACGATGACTTAATTTTATATTATCTCAACCATATACATTCACGATAACTTCCACTCAATAATATTTCGTTGTGTTACTAAATCTAAATTAAAAACAGATTTAACAAGTTGTGAGCGTCTTCTTCAATTGGTATGATAACACCTGACTTTTTGACGCCACTAACCAAACAAAATTTTTTAAAATATTCATGATTTATTTAGAGTTTTAAGGGTTTTATCAACATGTTACCAAGGGTGTATTATTTTTAAAAACTGAGATAGTTGAAATGTAAACAACGCCACTGCTATTTTTTTCGAATCTTTGTTGCGTGACGCGAGTTGGTCCACACTACCGATCAGACGCCCTTGGGCGTGCTGTAAGAAGGCGTTGAATGTACGTTAATCCTCCGTAATAGTGAGGTTGAACACATTTCGGCGAGCACCCAGTTGTCAGAGGCGTCACGGGAGTGACTGGTTACACTACCGTATGTAGCCTGGCGCAACCCCTAGTTCGGTTTAATCATCGAACGTAGAGGCCGACCGTGTCCATTTTGTAGAATACTCGTGTGATTGGTGTCATCCGTATGACAGGGGCGTCGAAAGCCGCCACTGTTGCAGTTTGACCGTTGAATCAAGTAGTACCCCTGACTCTGCAAGACATACAATCAACGGATCCTTTGCACTTAGGTAGCCATTGGGTAACTCGGGGCGTCCAACCGTTACTACAACTGACGTGTTTGAGTACAACCCTTATTCGATTAGTATCCCTCCGTGTGATGACGCTAGTTCAGGGTAGATGGCAGACTATAGCTAGTAGGTTAGACTGACCAATGAAAATACAGGTGTTGTCCGATCACGTCGGACGGTCAGCTGACCACTGAAGCGTGGGTCAATAGTTAGATCAGCGCAGTTGGTGTTAACTAGAGAACGGTCAGAGAAATGTCGCATCTTAATCACCCCCAACCTCACATTTGGTGGTGCTTTTCCCCACCCTTACAACCGGCGGTACTAATGGGGGAGCCCGGAGCGCACCGAGTTACAAGACCGCCATGGTGCTACCTGATGCGCCTGTGTTATTAGACAGCTGAATCAAGTAGTAACACTGACTCGCTGCGCCGGACACCCAATCAACAGACGCAAGGTGGCAAGGTGGCGAGATAGCCGCTGGGAAACTCTGGGTGGCAAACCGCACCGCCTTACTGCCGGGGTGCCGACCTCCGAAATAAATAAAAATTTAATGGCAGAAACCTCCCCAAAAGCCAGAGTTTCTTTCAGGTATCTTTTCAGAACATTATCTGCCTAAAGTTTATTAGCGATTGGGTGAAAATAAAAATAAAAACGTACAGTATTAATGGCACCAGAGGCGTAGCGAGAGGGGGGGGGCGGTGGGTGCAGACCGTATCGGGTGACACCATTTAGTGGGGTGACACCAAGGCAAAAAATAGCAAAATATACAGAATATATCTGAATTTAGAATTTTTGCCCAATTAAATATGCTCCCTATACTCCGCATATGATGAAGTACAGAGGTGTAAAATGATTTAAGCTGTTAAAATTTCATGTGATTCTTGTGCACGATTGCAATACTTCCTTTATACTCTGTATACGAGAGAGTAAAAATGCACAAAAAGCTTGTTAATAACAAGTTTTTGTGTAATAATGCACTAGTTATTTAAATAGTAGTGTATTATTACTTATTTTCTTACATAAAAGCTTGTTATTAAAACGTTTTTGATGCATTTTTTCAGTACTTCAAACAATTGTATACAATATAGTTGCATGACTAAAAACTATTACGAGCCAAATGAACATGAAAATACGCGTATAATAGTGCGGTAAATAGTAGGTGCTTCCACTTTATTTAGTAAATTTGGATTAATTCATAAAAAATTGATTAGACATCCAATTATGTCAAATTTGATGTCAGATTGCATTGTCATCGGGTCTTGACTCAAATGCTGATTTTGAAACGAATCGGTCAGTTAAAAGTGCTCCAAATTTCGCTAGGTAGATTTAATATATGACGACAAAAAGATAGAAAGACATACAGACAAATGAAGATGACTTTGTTATGTATCTTCAGCACATGCATTTCTTCTATTTTGATTACATACATCGATTTAAAGATTTTAAGTACTAAAAATTACAAGAAAAACAGACAACTGTTACAAATAGAATTGCCCATATAAAGGGTAAATCTGCATTCAAAGACTTTTACTTACACATCAGTCTGCAAAAGAACAAACCAACCGTTTATCTTAGATTATGGACTACCATATTAAATTGTTTAGTGGGCTGAGGATCTAATGCAGTCACTATAATCACTAATGTCATAAGATAGGATGCGGGGATACAGAACGTACTATGCAACACCATTTGGGGGAAGGTGTAGACACAAAGTCAAATAACTCGTCACATTTACTTATTTAAAAATATTTATCCGTTGTTAATAAGTGACTTCATTTAAATGCGGACTTTCTTTCAGGCATCTCTTCATCAACCGTAGAAAAAATATGTAATTTATGTAGAAAATATAAAGTTCAATCAGTGTCCGCCTCCCTCCCTCCCCCCCACCCCCAGAATTTTAAGTGCACCCCCATCCCCCCACCGAAAGTTTCGGAGCAAAATTACTTTAAAAAAACACACTGGTTATATACTAATATACGCAGTAAATATAAATTGATGTACAATTCAATCGGGAAGAGGGGTGAAATAATGCGAAAATGAAAATGTAAATTCCACATAATTCAATTTGAAAAAAACAATATTTGCAACATGTCGGACAAATGAAAAAATATTTTTTAAAATATACAATAGCAAAACATAGCTTCATGTTGCAAATATTGTTTTTGTCAAAGTCAATTTTTTAAATTTATGAAACATAGTCCCAGGTTGATATGTTTTTTGTCTTTGTTGCTGTAGGAGATTTAAGAACCAATGTTTATAGGGTCGGGAAAATTGCTGAGTTTACTAAAGACGATTGAGAGCATATTTCATGGAGGTGATATGTTGTTTTTTAATGAATATAACAGAAAATTACCAGTGGAAGTGCTGAAGGAGGAATACAGAACCAAGAAAGGTCCATGAATGATTTCAAGTTAACAAGCGATGGTAGAATGAGTCTGTTCACCCCAAATTCAGATTGAAGTATAAAATAATTTATTTGGCAGTCAGAAATCACAACCTAATTATATTTTTGTTTTCCTTAAAACGTATTCCTAGAATCAAAATTACAGCAGCTTAAAAAGAACTTTGAACAAAGATTAAACTATTATAAGATTTTATAAATTTATACTCGATTGAATAATTTAATGAGTGATTTTTAAAAGAATGATTATACTTTGTTCACAAATATTTGATCGAAAGCATGTTTATTTAAGTAATTTCAATCTTTGATCTTTTACAAATTTATAGGTACTTTTTAAATTTATGCTAAATTAATTTTTATAAAACACATGACATTATGGCCAAAATTGCTTTGCTTGTTTTTTACGATTGTTTGATATATCTTTCACAAAATGATAATATATCCAGATCAAATATAATACTTTTCTTTCCTGAAATGTATTCATAAAAATATTTAAAATATGTAGGCTTATGTACTTACAAAAATACTCTAAATAGGTTTGCTTTGCATCTTATTAATATAATAGAGGAATAGTTAAACTATAATATAACAGATGCTATTTATAGGCTGTATTAATTCATATAAAGTTTCGAAATTATTTACTTTATTGTGAGTTTTTTATTTGGTTTTTAAGCACTACTAGTTTAGGTAGATCTATGCGGATTAATGATTTGTTTTATTCTTAGCAAATATTTAGGAAATTATCGCAAATTTACACATTTCAGTTACAGCTTAATTGCTGTGTTTACATTTCGTTTTATTTTCAGATTTTCATACTTCATATTATATTTGCCTATTTAGTATATATTTGAGCTTTACTCAAATGATCTAGATTCTAGATCATGTTTGTGGTGTTAAGTTTGTTTATAATTTTTATTAGTTTTATTTTATTAATAGTAATTCACTTTTAAGGAATCAAAAAAACGAATAATTGAAAAATATTATTTTTTTTAATTAAAAATTTAAATTTGTATTGCCATAACATCATCAATCTAATTATAATATGATATATTTAATTTACCTTAAATAAAACATTTATTAATGGACCAATGTTTTATATAATAAGCATTCGAAGTTTAGCAAATATATATTTGGCTTTATTTTTCTATGAATTCCCGTATATTGGGGAAAAAGGAAAAGTTTTACTTTTTCTAAACAAAATCTTCTATGATAAAAACTAGTAGAAATAAATCGGGAGTGATCTCCCTTAAACTTTCTCGAATATTCTTATATAACACTACGGGAGATGGCACATCATGATATAGATTTTTAAATACTTTAACTTTTTAAAATAGAATAAAATCTTCTAGAAACATTTCATTAAAAAAACGTTTTAATAACAAGCTTTTATGTAATAATGCACTAAAAAGGAGAAAATAAATTATACACTACTATTTAAATAACTATAAAGAAAAGCGTGGTTCACTTTAGTATCTATTGGATACCTTTACTAATATTTAGGAAGAGACCCACGCTTTTCTTTATAGTTATTTAAATAGTAGTGTATAGTTTATTTTCTTCTATTTAGTGCATTATTACATAAAAGCTTGTTATTAAAACGTTTTTAAGGAAAAATTGTTTTATTACTTTACATGTTTTTATTTACAATATAGTTACATGACTAAAAACCATTGCTCACCTATTGAACGTTATGATGCGTTATTGAACGTGATGACGCGTGTGGAGTAGTTGGATAGGACTGCCTACTAATTTGGTCAAATTTTTAATTAATTCATAAAAAATTAATCAGGCGACTTGAATGTCGTGATGCATTGTCTTCATGTCTTGACCCACGTACCAAATACGAACCGTATCTGTCAGTTAAAAGCGCCTGCAATCTCGCGTTTCAACCTAGACAGACTGACTGACGACTGACAAATGCTGAGGAAGTGAATTAAATAAAAGCTTGTAAAAAAGAATTGCACTCCAAGTGAACAAAAAAACAGTATTCGTATTATAGTGCCGAATATAATTAGTACTTTATAAATTCATATGCGTTTTTGAGAAATCTGAAATAGCGTAAATTACTACTTCCGGTCAACGGAGATTACTCAAAATTTGACAGAAGTCAGAGATATTTTACTTATACATGAAATTTCATTTATCTATCTGAAACAGTACGCAAGTTATAGGCTTTTGAAAAATTAGAAGTAGAATAAGTTCCACTTCCGTTTATCGGAAATCGCTGAAAAGTTGAAAAGGAACTACACATTTGATATAATACTTATGTATGAAATTTCTTTAATATAGCTGTAACGGTACTCAAGTTATCATGTTTACAGACACACATAAACAGAGGCGTAGCGAGGGGGGGCCGGGGGGGGGTACATATGTCCCCGGCACCAACCTTAGGGTGCTCCTAATTGGGTTGAAAAAACAAATTAAAATATCATTTTAGCTGCAGTTTTACATTATATATATACAAAATAAATTTGGGGTGGGGTGGGGGGTGCAAATCAAAAGTTTGGGGGGGGGGGGGAGGGAGGGGTTGCAAATTGAAAACTGAAAGGTTGTTCTCGAGGGGGGCGCCAAATTGAGAGTTTGTCCTCGGGCACCGGGAAGGGTCGCTACGCCTCTGCACATACACACACAGTCATACAGATAGCATTCCAAAGTCCATTTTTACCGACTTGATTACGCATAAAACGCCAAAATATTGACATATATATATATATATATATATATATATATATATATATATATATATATATATATATATATATATATATATATATATATATATATATATATATATATATATATATATATATATATGGATTTATAAGTTTTGTCCAATTAAATTAAGTCCTCTATACTCCGGATTTGATGAAGGAATGAGGTGTAAAACGGTGAAAACTGTCATAATGTATACGAAAAAAAAAAAACAGTGTGACAAAATATATATAGATAGAGATTTTAATATCTATTTGAGCATATTTTACAAAGCAATAATAATTTTCCCAAAAATCATAACTCTGTTGTTAATCGTCTTTTCGGCTGTTTGGTTGCAGAGTATCAGGCCTACTAAAAACTTACTTATTGCCTTGTTTTGCACCTCATTAATTTTAATAGGATCTACAAAGGACAGTGTTTATACAAAATTTGAAACTTTTGTTTTCCTAGACGTGCTTCCATTTATTTATTTTTATAATTCAATACCGCATACTTACTAAACAGATATTAGGCTAATAGTAATTTAGGAAAGCAATGCATTGCGTCACTGTGCCATTTTGAGTTAAACTACGTTAAACTTAAAATTCCTACATTTTAAAATTGTTTTATTCCGTTAAATGATGGATATCACAGTAGCATTATTGTATAAATTTAACTTTCCCATCATGTCTCGACAAGATTGAAACCTATATTTAGCTATGTTTTAAATTTTAATTTAATTTAAAATTGAAAAAATATAACGCCTCGAGCATTAAAACGCTTTCAAAAATAGCTAGACAGTACACAATAATTATAATTGCTAATTCATATGTCTCAAGTTCATTGCCCATGCAAGGTCAGTACGACTCAGTTGCGATGGGTTAAGAAAAGACAACTAATTAAAATACACATACCTATTTCTCGTAGTTAAAAACATATTTTTCTTTTTATAAATCTAAATGTTTTTTTAATGGTGTTACTAAAATTTAGTGTCGATGGATAGTGAAATAATATTGACCTACCGAAAAGTATACTTAAGTAACATGAAAATAAATTTATTCAGAGCACAAACATCTTTATAAATTATAATGGTTTTATTTTAACGATAAATTAGTTTGTTTTATATTACGATCTTAAAAGGGTTTAATTTGTTAAAAATTTGTGATAAAGAAAATTAAATTTTACTCTTTATTGTATAGCCCCCAACAGTCTTATAGAAAAAAATAAACGTTTCCGCAATCATTTTTTTTTAGAAATGTAGATCTAACAGTATTTTGTGAAGTGTGATTTTCAATTTTCAAAATATATAATTAAAACTTAAATTGTGTCCTTGTTTTATATGTATTGTTTTGTTTGGAATAGCTATTAGCAGAGGTGAAGCAACCCATTTCGGCGGCCCATTCGAACTTTTAATTTTGCGACCCCTTAAATGAGAAGGTTTATGAACATGTGCTTCAGAAATATTCTTCAAATCCTTCAGAAAAAACATAAGAATGGTAAAAGATACTTCAACAGAAATCTTTATTCGAAAACAAGTAATTAAAAAAAGTCTAGTGACAATTTTAGCGCAATTTCCTTGTGTTATCTAAAAATAGCTCTGTCGTAGCGTAAATCAAGAGCAGGGTTAGTAAAACCATTGGTTAGTTATTAAAACGTTTTTTATTACATTTTTTTCAGTATTTTACATGTTTTATTTACAATAGAGTAACATGACTAAAAACCATTGCGCGCCCAGCTACCGAACGTGACATCGCAGCCATTGAACGTGATGGCGCAGCTATTGAACGTGATGACGCGTGTGGTGTGGTTGGAAAAAATGCCTACTAATTCGGTCCAAATTTTAATTAATTAAAAAAAAAATTTTGTGACCGAACGAAAGGATATTTTTGAAAACTTTCTTCGGCAATATTGTTCTAAATTATGACAGGAATCGATTGGTACATGTTTCAAGTCGCTAAGTTGTCTGGTTGCCTAGATATGGGCCAAAAACTGCTTTTTTTCGAGGTTTTTTTGGCTTTTCCGGGAAATCCATGAAAGAAACCCGGAATTTTTATGGCCTATGTTCATCCTCGTAACTTGCTTAACATAATTGCTTTTGGAACTAGTCAT